AGATTCTGACTTAGTAAAAGAATGTAATCACTTCAGAAACGGTACGGATTCGTTGAAAAGATATGACTATTTAGCAACACGAGAACTATTAGTTGAAATCATCAGTTATTATATTAAAGAATATCTGGTACAAAACGAAGGCTTGTCCGATGCACAGATAAAAGAGATTGAATATGATTTTACAGAAGCGCTTCACCAACGAGATATTATTCATTATCTTATTAAAGCTTATACATCACCAACAGCGAATTTTTATAAAATTCTTAATAAACATTTGGCAAAGTACTTGATGGATTATTTCGATCAGAAGGTTCATTTTAGCCCTAATTATCGCCTCATCAATTGTCTAAAAAACATTGTAACTCTACTCATACATCATCCAGATTTTATCAATCATCATTTCATCGGAACAACATATCGTGGAATGTTAATGACTGAAAACGATCTTGGGAAGTATCAAACTGGTACTCAAATAATGACTCGAACATTTCTATCTACATCGAAAAAGCTAACAGTTGCAGAGTTCTTTGCTGGGGAAGGACAACAAAATAGTTTTCGGAAAACATCCGATAGAACCCACATTCAAATATCAGTAGTGTGTCAACACAAAATCAAAAATACCCGCACTGCTCTCGATATTGAATCAATGTCGAGTATTTTAGATGAACAAGAAGTGTTAATTACACCATTTGCAACATTTAACGTTACTAATGTGAAACGGCATGATCCAACAACTAATCCATCCGTTTCAGTTGAAATAGAGTTAGAAGAATATGAGTCAGTTTGTGAACCTACTTACTTGTGTGAACTGATTCGGCATCAGCATAAACGATATTCTCGGATCGAACGGTTAATGAATCCAGCAAAATCTTTTCCAATTGAACAAAGCTACATTAATTTAGCTATAGTGGAAATCAAAGAACAACAAAAAAAAGAAAAGAAGCTACGTAATGCTCAGCAAAGTGATGCGATCATCGGTATCTTTGAAGAGATACACGGAGCGAAGGCTCTAGTTGATGTCAAGGACATTTTTGAAACTTGCAAGAATCAAACGAAGAAGGTACTCGTGCTCGGACGCGCTGGGATCGGTAAAACAACATTTTGTCGATATGTTGCTTACCGATGGGCAAATGGCACAATTTGGCCACAATATAAGCCGATTTTCTTGATTCCGCCACGGCGTTTAACAGAAAGTCGTTATCCTCCATTGTCATCCGGCATTAGCTATTCTCGAATTGATCTCGTCGAAAAGGAATGTTTCCACCATGCTCTTTCCGACAAAGATAAAATATATTTGAGAGAACCGTTTGACAAAAGTCAAGTTCTATGGCTTTTGGATGGGTATGATGAAATTGTACAAAATGTACCAGCACATCTACAATATTTATTCGAGCAGTTACTGAACACTCCACACCACATCTTGACCTCTCGTCCATACTCAAATAAGTTATCATATGATGTGATAATGGAAATCACAGGTTTTACAGATGATAATATACATGAGTATGTGAAGCAGTTCTTCGATCAAATTACAGATGAATCAGACGATGGATCATCCACAGGCAAAAACCTATTGGACTTCTTAAAATTGAGCACTAACATTTGGGGTATTGCACATATTCCAGTGAATCTCGAACTGATTTGTAGTCTTTGGGCTGACACAGATTGGTCCATAACTAGAGAACTCACAATGACACAGCTATACCATAAGATTACAGAATGGCTATGTCGAAGATATTTCGAAAAACAACGAAACATCGAAACAATTCTAATGACTAAAGAGGATGTTTATAAAAGTTGCCACAAAGAACTGGCATTCTTAGAAAGCATGGCTTTTAACGGAACGAAAACCAACACTATAATTCTACGACCGACATTGCTGAAAAAAGCATTAAAGGATACTGAGTGCTCGTTACGGGATCACCCACACTTACTCAATATAGGTATTCTAAAATCCTTCAGCCATCAGGCTGTTGGTACTCAGATCGAAACGGACAAAGACCATTATTTTGTTCATCTGAGTTTTCAGGAACATTTCGCTGCACGATATTTGGTTGCCGCTCTCACGGATCCTCCACGCCAAGAAGCAATCGAGTTTCTCAAATGCAACAAGTACAATCAACGATTTGCACTAGTATTTCCTTTTATATCTAGTCTTCTGTCTGAGAGTAATTCTGAATCATGCATAACAACATTCTGGACCACAATACTAGGAGAGCCGTTGGACCTAGTTGGTCTAAGACACATACAACTAGTTATTGCTTGTGTTGAGGAGACTAGTGGTAACTCAAATCTTCCTGGTCGAACCGAGTTGATCAGTTATATAATAAAGTGGTTAAAATATTCTGTGTTTGCCGAATCGAATGCAACAATTAAACAGCTGACAGAGTCATTGAAAAGGAGCGCTTCATTAGCACATGAGCCAGCAATAATAGACCTACTGATTCAGCTGCTTCAAAACAAACAACCGAACGTAAAAGCGAATGTATGCTCCTTAATTTCAGAATTATCGCTTACAAAAACTAATCCTAAGCTAATTCATTCACTCACCACAGCGCTTCATGATGAGAATGATGATGTTAGATATTCTGCATGTGAAGCTCTCGGGAAACTGGGTGAGAAAGCAGCAACTTCTGAAGTGATTAGAGCACTACTCAATGCACTTGGTGATGAGAATGATGCTGTCAGATCTTCTGCATGTGAAGCTCTCGGGAATATGGGTGACAAAGCAGCAACTTCTGAAGTGATTAGAGCACTACTCAATGCACTTTGTGACGCGCAGAACCTTGTTAGATATTCTGCACGTGAAGCTCTCGAGACAATGGGTGACGAAGCAGCAACTTCTGAACTGATTAGAGCACTACTCAATGCACTTGGTGATGAGAACGAGAATGTCAGATATTCTGCATGCGTAGTTCTCGGGAAAATGGGTGACAAAGCAGCAACTTCTGAACTGATTAGAGCACTACTCAATGCACTTGGTGATGAGAATGCGAATGTCAGATATTCTGCATGTGAAGCTCTCGAGAAAATGGGTGACAAAGCAGCAACTTCTGAAGTGATTAGAGCACTACTCAATGCACTTGGTGATGAGAATGCGAATGTCAGATATTCTGCATGTGTAGTTCTCGGGAAAATGGGTGACAAAGCAGCAACTTCCGAAGTGATTAGAGCACTACTCAACGCACTTGGTGATGAGAATGAGAATGTCAGATATTCTGCATGCAAAGCTCTCGAGAAAATGGGTGACAAAGCAGCAACTTCTGAACTGATTAGAGCACTACTCAACGCACTTGGTGATGAGAATGAGGATGTCAGATATTCTGCATGTAAAGTTCTCGAGGAACTCATCAGCGGGTTTTTCCACACTGAAAATGTTGATTGGCTTCCTGTTATAACCATTGCTGCACTTCTGCAGGGTAGTGCAGTGACCGGTACTGCAAAGACTATTGTAGTATATGGTAGTGAAGATCCAGCGGTGGTGAACGCTCTCAGTTTAAATCATGGAAGGCTGACTCTGAAATTGGTTGAAGCTTTTGTTGATCAAGCAAAAAGACTTGGTTTATCTCGAGAACTGCCTATTTCTTTTGTTATGTGGAATGCTGTCGAAAGTTGAAGTATGATATGAAAAGGGGTTAGTTCGTTCTGCATTTTACTGTGTTATGGTTGATGGATTACTAAGTGCCTCGATACTGAGTGTTAGCTTAAGTTTGTGATTTGAAGAGTGAATATCGTATTAGTGTCTTATGAAATGCTTTTCTCTGTTGTGTTTTCTGTTGTTCTCGATTTACTGCTGTAAAAACGTTTGAAAGTTAGTAGCGTAGAAGAATAAGAAATTATTTATATTCTTTATATATACTACTACGAATACTATTTAATGGTAGCGGACAGAATATATACAACCTTCCGACAATGAAAAATAAACAAGAGTATAACGATAATCAATACAACCGTGGTGTTGATATTAGATTATATGAAACAGATCACGCTACATGCTGCCTCAAATGTTTGAAGAAAGCCATTGATCCGACGTCAAATGCATCGAAATTTCGAACTATCCGATCCACTGCTTATGATATCAAAGCGAAGATGTCATGTTTAGGAAATATTTTATTACTCTTTTCTCACTTGTTTAGTATTTGATCATATTTATATCTGTCACCGGTCTTCCACCTCATTTTTATCAGCCATTTCTTGCCATTAATTCTACTACGCATTACAGCACAACACATCGATAACCTGAACCACAACAATACGCATCAAATCTTACCATATTAGCACTCCATATCATATCAACAAGCTCAATGCCCGAGCTCATTGCACATTCTTGCTCACATGAACTCGCAATAGATGTATCCGTATCACAGGCAATTACAAATTCCTAACTAATACAGCGATACAGACACCCTCGTCGACCCTGACAGTGGTTCGTGTATGTAGCTTAATCTCAGCTGAACTATCGCTATAAGCGGTACGGATGCCCAGATATTGTACATAGGTTTTCATTCAAACCATATGCAGTATTTTGTAAAAGGAGTCAAACGAAACGGCTCTTTGTTGAAAGATGTTGCTGATAAAACTAAAACGGATTTGTAGTAGATATGACGGTAGCACTATTTATATTAGTAGAATTTCTACTATCCATAACAAAGAGAGCTCTGGTTTTTGCTAGTCCAAAGAAGAGACTTGGGAACATGTTTTCATTAGCAGAAGTTTTTCAGAAGGTGTTTTGAAATAGATCTTCTAGGAGATCTTTGGGAAATGCGACTGTATCTCAAAAATTTCTAATAGGATTATATTGATTTCTTTTTCATAGATTGATAGCCCAGCGTATCCTCTTCAAAATGAGAGTCAAGCGAGACCTTGATTTTTAATGATTTGGATATGGTACTGGATTTTCTCGTAGTCGCAGGAGTCGCATCCGGTGACTACTGGCAACCTCGGAAACGGACTGATTATAGCTAATTGATCATGTTGAGTTTCGCACTAATATTTGGTTTTTAGAAGAACCTGTTATTTTTCCACTTCCACTTCACTATTGCTACCATATATATAATAGGGATGTTACAAATAAGATGAGTGAATAAAATGATCACTTATTCAACTAGTCACTTTTGCGTTCTATCACTTTTTCAGACGACGTTATAGTATAGCCGAATGTTCTTTTTTTCGTATATATAGAATACCATAATAGCACTTTTATCTGAATGATGGAAATGTATTAAGTCGCATTTTTTTTCTCTTTCAATCAATCAATGAATGTAATATAAATATCCAATGAACTTTTTTATTTCATAGTCAACTAGATATGTTTTTTCTTCTTGGGTATGACAACCAACACATCATCGACAACAGTTCTGTTTAAAACATGATCATGAACAACAAATTCCGCGGTTTTTCATATTTTCTCTACTTCAGATCACCAAAAAAACTGATGACAACCAAATGCTCATTTCGTTAGTATTTGTCACAACTGTTTAATTTCACACACAGAAATGTTCAGTAGCTTTCTTTGTGTCTCTTTATGTGTCTAGGACAAGAACAAGGAACATCTTGCTTTTTCCTTGCTCTACTATTCCATTTTCTTTCGTTAACTGAAAAAAAGC